CCCCGTGAGGGTGGAATCCCTGGCAGCCACATCCTCCTTAGCACTGACAAGGGCTTCCTCGGCTTCTTCCTTCTGCTCTCGAATCCGCTGAAGGTCCATCCTAGCCCCATGATACCGCGCCGCTATTACGGAGATCTGTTGGGTGGCCTGCAAATGAAAGGGCATGTTACTAAAAGGAAAGGCGGCTAAAAAAGATTAAAGCAAAGATGAACTTACCACCAGGGAATTCTGGATGATAGAGCGAAACAACACGTTCGTTGATCGCCCTCTATGAGCCACCATGTCGGCCTCGAAATGCAGCGTCTCACTCACTGCATAGGCGACATGAGGNGGAATTCTGGATGATAGAGCGAAACAACACGTTCGTTGATCGCCCCCTATGAGCCACCATGTCGGCCTCGAAATGTAGCGTCTCACTCACTGCATGGGCGACATGAGGGTCCTGCAAAATGGAGTCGTCGACCCTGATCACTCGGTTCATGTGATCAGTGGCTCGAGGATTCCACTCCGCGGCTTCCACTGTCTGCGGAAGGGGAGGAGGAGTCTGCTGTTGCTGTTGCTGCTGTCGCTGTTGTTGCTGAGGAGCAGAAGGTAACCCACGGCCTCTCCCACTTTGTTGCTGAGCGGAGGGGGCCCTAAATCCCCTGCCAAGGCCGTCGTGCCTATGTTTGATCCTCCTCTCCTCCTCTACCTGAGGATCCCGGTCACGCACTTGACCCCGACTGACGATTCTCGAGGACGGGGTGGCGCTGGTCCCTGCAGATGGGGCCCCACCGGTAGATCCTCGTCCCCTCTCAGTAGCGAGGGCTTGCCTCTGCCTTAGGAACCCTAGATCAATGCGGGGCGTGCTGGACATGGCTACCTGGAGGGCGTCTTCGGCGTCGAGAGATTGTAGGATTGGGAAGTCCGGCCACGAGTCTCTGCCCGAAGTCCCCACCTCGACGTACGAAGGAACCAAGTCCTCTCTGACCCCGAGCTCTTCAACTTCACCCTCTACTTCTACCTCCGAGGCCCGGTCAGGGTCTTCTTCCAAGTTCTCTTCAACCTCTTGCCTCATCGCCTGATCAAAGAGTTCAGATCACCGCGAAGGATCGAAAGGCTGGGGAAGCTGTGAAAACTTCTTATATCCGGGAGTATAATTCAGGAGGATGTGGGCAGCCTGGCCGAGCCTGTCGTCACCAGTGAATCTCCAAACGGTGACTAGGTCCGCAAAGTTCACCAACGACCGAGGTGGAGGAGCTGTTTCCCGAGGGGAGATGTCTACACAAGCAAAAAGAGGGGAGTGAGTCATGAGCACGTAGAAAATCTCAGAAACAAAATAATAGACCCAAAGGAACCGACGTACTTGTCGTTCTCCATTCCAAAAAGCATAACAAGCCGTCATACTCGGGACCGACACCTCTCTGCCAAGATCCCTTGAAGATGAGTAGGTCATCCTTGTACCCCTTGTTCGAGTCAGAAAGGTGAGTTACGAGGTACATAGATGGGTCCCTGGCTTTGAGGTAGAAGTGTTGTTGAGGCGTAACTCTCAAGAGGGAATAACAAAAAAGGATATCGTTCAGCTTGACGTTTACCCCAAGACGCCTATTGAGCTCTAGGACCCCCATAATTATCCTAAAGACATTAAGGCAACACTGCCCGGAAAAAAGGCGGAAATGAGAGAGGAACTGGAGAAGCAGAGGGGCAAAGGGAACCTAATCCCACCTTATATGATGGCTTTGATAAAAAAAAGGCATTGCGTCCTCGGTACCGAGGGTACGAGGGTGCACAGTCGGGTCATAATCCTCTATGTCTACATTCGGGGGAACGCTGTACTTAACCCTAAATCTATTAATTTGTTCACCACCTTTTACTTTATACTTCCTCGGCCTCGAAGTACTGGCCTGAGGGTTCTTGGGGGCAGGGCGACGACGAGGCATCTTCAAAAAGTGATAAAAAATAGAGTGGGTCTTTTCCACGAAGATCCCCAAGAAGGCTTCCCGGGGATTGGTCGTTGAAGGGCAACCAGAAAATACCTCCGGTGATCAGAAAACGAAAAGAGACAGAAGGGCAAAGAAAAGGAAGATACTGGGACTCACCAGAGTGTAAAAAGAGGTTTTTTCTGGAAAACTTGAATCGACTCCTTCCAAGAATGTTCAGAAGCAAGGATGGGTCTGCTGGCTTTAAAGCTTCAGTGAAAAGGTTGGGCAGTTGACAAACGGAAGGAAAGAGGTCTCCGGCGAAGATTCAGGCAAGGGCTCTCTGTGAAGAAAAGTTCAGAACGATGAAATGAGAAAAGAAGGGAGAAAGCCCCTTTATATATAGCACCTATCCCATCATTGGGCGCGAAGCACAAAACGACGCATTTAATGCGCACGACGTCCTAAGCNTGACACGCGACTTGGGAAACAAGCATTTAATTACACCATTCTCTTGATGAGACTGTATTCAATGCGGTAAGGTTCAGAAGTGAAAGGCAATAAATGTCTCTAAGGCTGGGCATTTATTGCATCCTCCCCAAGATTAGCTCATTGAACCGTCGACAGGCCGATGACACAGTCTTGATTGCTTGGGGTCCCGAGCAGTTAAGAGAGAAGACATTCCTCATAGGAATCAGTGCGCACGTTGCCTGTATCTAATGATCACCTACTGACCACACTGACAGCAATAATGAGTATTTGAGGTATAAATACTCCTCACTAAAGGCTAGACAAACAAGGTGAAACCTTTGCTACAAATTATACTCAGTGTTTTCTTCTTCCTCTCTCTCAAAAACTGACTTGATCGTCGGAGGGGATACGCCGAAAAACACTCCGGCGCCCTTCTAACTTGTTCTTCTTTGTTCCAGGAACCTTTCTTCAGCCTTACTGGATCGTTCCTTTGATCCGCGAGGGTCTCCCATTACCGTTCCAGGTTACCACCGGATCTCACAGGCTGTTCCAAGCAGCGTGGTTGACCACTCAACTGACTCACTCGAGTTCACCAAGGGAGAGATCTGTTCTCGTTTTTATATTGTGCAAGATCTAGCACGCACAATCTGGCGCCGTCTGTGGGAAACGACTAGTTTTCCTAGTTTTTTCTCTATAAAGAACAGTGACCATGGTGAACACTCGACAAAAAGGGAAAGGTCCCCACCAAAGAAGTCTCGAATTACAAGCTCCCTGTCACCACGGAGGAAGGGATCACACTGATGGGAATAAAAATGCCTCTACTCAGTCAAGAGGGGTTACCCCTCAAACCAGTATGAGAATCAGGTCAGGAGGATCAGCCCCCCTAGCTCGTCAGCTGGCNTTATCATGGGATTGAGTGGCATCCGGTACGTTTTTATGTACCGACACGTACCCTCGGTCTGATATGGTACATCGGTCGTTAGGCCTCCCCCTCTCTGATTCAAGATGTACCTATTCCTCGGTTTTTGAGATGTACCTCTTCCTCGGCTCTGAGATGTACCTCTTCCTCGGTACCGAGATGTACCCCTCTCATCCATGATGAAGTTCTCTGCTCCAGCAGAGGTTATTGATGCACTGGTCACTAGCCTAGGCTAGGCTAGGTTAGCTATCATGACCTCGTCTTACACAATTGGTGTCAGAAGGCACAGGAAGGCAGGGGCCACAGCCAATGAGGAATGGACGCGTGNCTTGGGGAGCACTTTTGTTCACACATACTCACATTTGAAATCTCATTCATCCACCATTCCGTTGCCCTTTCTTTTGACATCATCCCTAGGAGAGTGACACTCCCCTTTATTCATATACTATACATGCTAAAAGGTGATGTTTATAGGTTAGGAAACAACAAGGAAATTTGTCAAGCAGTCCTGAGCAGTTAAANCACGCTGACAACAATCATGAGTATTTGAGGTATAAATACTCCTCACTAAAGGCAATAAAAAGAGGTGAAACTTTTGCTACAAATTATACTCAGTGTTTTCTTCTTCCTCTCTCTCAAAAACTGACTTGATCGTCGGAGGGGATACGCCGAAAAACACTCCGGCGCCCTTCTAACTTGTTCTTCTTTGTTCCAGGAACCTTTCTTCAGCCTTACTGGATCGTTCCTTTGATCCGTGAGGGTCTCCCATTACCGTTCCAGGTTACCACCGGATCTCACAGGCTGTTCCAAGCAGCGTGATTGATCACTCAACTGACTCACTCGAGTTCACCAAGTGAGAGATCTGTTCTCGTTTTTATATTGTGCAAGCTCTAGCACGCACAGGAACCTAATAGCTATATTATATACAATAACGGCCTACCTATGCGATGCACGGATTTTCAACCCTTGTCTTCTTTTCAATTTCCCTGTTTCATCCTTGCTCCTCCTTCACTGAATCACTCCTATTACTTGAAAAATCAGATCAAGAATTATTAAAAATATGGGGTCATATAAATACTTTTAAGATATTTTGAAAAAATTGTTGGTAGTTAGAGGGAAGAGATGAGTAGTTATAAGGGACACATGGTAGTCCTTGGTTTCAATTTAATAATTCAAAATGCTAAGAAATTAGAAAGTGTAGGAGACTTCTCAAGCCCTCAAATAGTGGGAATTGATCGTCATATATAATAGTATAAGTATATCTAGATGTATTTTGATCTAGCTTTCTTCTTGAATTTCATTCTTTCTTTCCCCTTTGTTTTCTCAACCAAGTATAGATTTTGTAATGCTATGGGCACACCCAATATTTGATGGCTGATGCTAATTTGTTCTTTGGTATCTTGATTTACTGAAACTGTTTTTTGAAGGTCCTCAGAGTCTTGCACGCAAAATCCAGAAGCTGAATTTGGAGGTTTCACCCCACAGAGCTGGTAAGCTACTGCATCACCATTCACCCATGTATTTTGGGTTTTAGCTTCTCTGTTGATTTTAATATTGCACGATAGAGCTGCTCTGATTGTGTTGCTCATATGCCTTTGAGGAGCAATTTTTTAGTTGACATTAAAAGTTCTCAGAGTTGCCAAAGACCGATTCCGTGGGTGAGGAAATTTGATTTAGGTTGTTGGTTTCTTACAGTATCTGCAGTGAGATTGATGCGAATAGAGTTTGGTGGTGCTTTTGCCGACCTTTTGAACGAGAAAGGGAAGGGCTCAGGTGATAATGAGATGGGATATGTTGAAAGAACTCTTGGGTTTTGCACCCGTGATTTGGATGATAGAGATCTAAGATTGGTCTCTCTCCCTCTCTCTCTCTCTCTCTTACGTCTTGCTCATGTTTTGTTTGTTACAATCAATATATACTGACTCCAAGGGAAATTACATTACATCTCACTTTATCATATATGTCCAGCAGTAATTTCAATATTCTGAAGTCTGTTCAGTCGAATATTTGGAAAAAATACTCGAGCCTACCATTGGGGGTCAAATCTATTATGTTTTTACCTTGATGAAACTCAATTATGGATGCTATCTTGGAGTGTCTCTGATACTGAGAAACGCATAGAAAGATTGAGCTTTCTACAGTTTGGACAAACAAATAATACTGAAATGACGTGCCACGATCCTGTTTCAGTTTTAATTATTTTGAACTTTTTCACCTTACAGGTGACAGACATTGTCGGTGGTACCATTCGTTGGAGAAGATATCTCGATTATTTGATTCTTTCACTATGCCATGATGAGAACACATTTAGAAGCATGGAACCTCTTCTCTTGCAGGTACCCTTCTCTTGGGGGGTTTGTTTCCCTGCAGTCACGACAATATTCCCATGCTTTTGACGTGATTATGAAAATATCAGCTGACTGGCTAGAGAACTTATAAACCCCAACTATGTGGAACCTGTTCCCACTAGTCTAGTGAGAAGTGGCAAGAAAGAGCATCGTAATTTTAACCATCTAACAACATATCGGAATGTTGTATGAATGCATACCAAAATTTGCCTGCTTCCATGTATCTTAAAATTTCACTTGTGCAATGGTGGGGTTGCCAAGTTGGTGGAGCAGATCAAAGGTTGAAAGTGTGGTGAAACTAAATTCTTTTGGTTGCTTGTTAGCATCTCAGTTACTTACTTTGAAGTTTCCCTCTTTGTTTCTAGATTCTCCGTATCAGTTTTTACGAGATTTTAAAGCTCGAAATGCCACCATATGCTGTTGTAGATGAGGTAAATATTCCTTATTTGGTCTCGATCTCAGTCTTCTCCTTATTGTTGTTTCTTAATGAGGTATCGGTGTTAAGTCAGAAAGATAATGGTCTAGCTGCAAGAGGGATGTAAAATAACTCCTTAAATTTCAGAAACATTGCAGAAGACGCACGGTAGCCATGTTTGGTTTAACCTGCCATTCTGTGTCTCACTTCCATAGTAAAATAGGCTAGGTGGGGGGTTCCAGACACCCTTTACCTTTTTCATTTGTTTATACATGATGGTTCCAGATACCTTATACTTGCGGATATGGATTACACTGGGAACAGTCTGCAAATAATTTTGACAAACTTCACGTTATGCTCATTCGATCAAATACCAAGACATTATTTTTAAATATGTTCTTACCAGCACTTCCCTGATGTCCTTTTCATGAGGGTTCTAAACACCTTCAACACGTGAATCTTTATTCACTACTATGTTATGTGGAATGCAATGTAAGTTTCTCCTGATGGTTCATGTTTAAATGCAGAATGTAAGGCTTGCAAAAGTTGCCCTCAGATCTGGTGCTGGTAACATGGTGAACGGGATATTGAGGAAGCTAGTTTTGCTTAAGGTTTGTCTTCTGCTGACGTAACACATAAGTTGTAATGTGAGGGTTTTATACTGCCTTAATGTCTTGTGTCTGCAGGAAAAAAACTTGCTTCCCACACCAAAAGTGGAAGGTGATGATCGAGCACAAGCACGTGCTCTTGCCACCCTTTATTCTCATCCAGTAGTAAGTTTGGAAATGCCACCTTTTCCTTGTATTAACATTGCAAAGGATAATTGTTGTTCAAGCATACTGGTAGTTTAACAAAGTAATTCACCTGATTGATTGTGGGTCTCTCCAAGGCAATGTTCATGAAGAGACATTTTAGCACCTTACTTAATAATTTCCATTTCTCTAGGAAGCCAATGCATCTAGACTTATGTGTGCTTTACAGTTTCAAGGTTTCATTCTACTTTAAGCCCAACGGAAATTGGACAAAACAAAAGAGAATAAAATTCAACTTGTCTTGAGAATGAATACCCCCGATGTAATTGGCATTGGCTAAACTTGAGGTTCTGATTTCAAATTTTTGTATGCTTCAAGAGTTTTGACCACTCTTGTGAATGAATGAAGGTTTACTCGAAGTTGGACTTCCAGACCATAATGTTTAACCCTCATTCATGTAGACCAATTGTTTCACTCTGGCTAAGCAAGGGTACTATTTGACGAAGTTTCGTTGTTCAATATAAAGCCCTGATTTTATGGGTAGGATCTCTGCATACACTTTAGACAAACTTAACAATTCACTGTCATTGTGCTTAATTTTGAATGAGTTGTACGGGTCCATGACGCGACAATTTTGATGTAGTCTACTGTAAATGTAGATATATCTTGTACCTAAGTCTCCCGTTGTATTGAGGTTGAATTGTAAATAGTGCCAGCCCAAGGCCTAATTGAGTGATGCATCCATGTGGGCCCCACCTTCCTAGACCCCCACAAACCTCATAACTAAATTTAAAAAAAATTGAAAAGCCTGTTTTAAATAGCAGTGTGTCAAACACTTCTGTGTCTTTGGCAAAAGGCTGCCTGTTGTGCCATTAAATGCTATTGTATGCTACTGCATTATGGAAGTGTATTTCCTCACACTTTATAACGGTTTGATTTCTTCTTCTGTTACGGGTCTCAAGTGTCTTATGGTTCTATTCTTTTCCCTCCAAGTATCCCACTTATTTCTTTCTCGCTTTCTTAACCTGTCTCTCTCTAAATCATAAATTTATTTTACATAAAAATTCATAGTATTTCAAAAAGAAAATCTCACCATATCCTTTTATAGAAAGTTAAGAAACTCTCTTTCTCGGTTATATCCAAACTTTTGACAATGCTGATCCTTTTAGCTAGTTTTTTTTCAGAACTCTATATTAAGATTAATTTTGGCTATAAATAACTATTTTTATGAGATGTTTGTTCTACCAGTATTATTTCATGGTGGTAGATATATCTACTAAAAACATGAGGCTGGATATGAAGACTTTTAAATAAAAAAGGGGAAAAATAGGTAAATTTAATTCAATCTAGCTAAAGTAGATAAAGTTGCACTGTTGATACTTATGAATTGTGATTTCTGTCTTGCTCTAACTTGGCCAAGGTTTTTCATTTCCCATGTTTTCTAGTGGATGGTGAGACGATGGACAAAGTATCTTGGGCATGAAAAAGCCATTGAGCTGATGATGTGGAATAACAGTGATCCCAGTTTCAGCCTGAGGTTTGTGATGATAATTGTTTTCGTCCCCCATCATTATGTTATCAAATGATCTCCTCGTCATGTCTTCTGGTGTTAATGGCAGGGCAAACACTGGGAGAAATTTTACAAGATCTGATCTTGTAATCCAACTTAAAACATTGAAGGTGACTAAATGCCTTTGTTTTCTTAAAACGTTGGTTTCTACTCACTGTACAATTTTGTTCAATCCTCGAACTCTTTCTTTCTCCCTCAGGTATGTTTACATAGAGGCACACACATGCTTCTGCACACGGACACTGTTGCATAGACATGCATTTGACCACTTTAACTGAAATTCTATGTATTTCGTATAGCACATTGTTTTATAAAGTGCATCTGTACAGATATTCAGTCCCGTTTCTCGAGATGTACTTATGTAGTATTTGATTTACTAGAGAAATATGTGAGTCAAAAAGGGATACAAACTAAGTGTAGAGCCCCCGTATAGATAGCCAATGAAAATTACAATAAAAATAAAAAGGTAAAAAAGGAAAACTATAATCAACCCTAATAAACTAAGCTGCGATATCTCCAACATTCCCCCTCAAGTTAGGCACAAAAATGTCAATTAAGCCAAACTTGACAACGGAGTCCCGAAGAATAGATAAAGTGATAGGTTTGGTGAAAATATCCACAACCTGATCACTGGTTCCCACAAACAATGGAGTGACAACACCACTACTAACCTTCTTCCGAAGAAAGTGAACATCGATCTCTATATGATTTGTCCTCTCATGTAATACAAAGTCAGAAGCGAGCTGAATAGCAGATCGATTGTCACAATATAATGTAGATGAAGAAGTCACTGAAAATCTCAACTCGCCAAGAATCGATTGTAGCTAGATAATCTTACATGTACCAAGTGCCAATGCTTGATTTTCTGCCTCTGCTGACGAGCGGGAGACAACTGACTGCTTCTTGCTCTTCCAAAAGATAAGATGAGTCCCTCGAAAAGCATGGAAGCCCGTAGTAGATCGACCGTCACACGTTTTCTCATAATCTGAATCTGAATAATAGGCTAGAGAACCAGTCTGAGATCCTGATGCATAGAACAACCCAAATCTAGGACAGGACTTGAGGTACCGAAGAATATGATAAATTGCATCAAGATAAGACTGACATGGTCTGTGCATGAACTAACTAACTCGGTTGATAGTGAATGAAATGTCTGGCCTAGTGTTGGCTAGGTAGATAGGTCTACCTACCAACCTCTGATAGATAGTTGGATCTCTTAACTCCTCACCTTCAGTAGTAAGGTTCAGGTTTGAAATCATGGGTGATGATGCCCGTTTGCACTCCAGCATCCCAGTGTTTGAGAGAAGATCTAGAACATACTTTCTCTGAGAAAAAACAATACCCCTACTGCTACGAGCAATCTCAATCCGAAGAAAGTATCGCAAAAATTCAAGGTCCTTCACATCAAAGGCCTTCCCAAGGTCTACTTTGACCTGCGCAGTTCCAAAAACATCATCTCCAGTAATAATAATATCATCAACATATACCAAAAGGATGACACACTATCTAGAAGTATTCCGTCGAATGAAGCAGGTATGATCAGAATGACATCTGGTGAACTCTAAACGTGCAACTACATCACTAAAGCGAGAGAACCAGGCTCGTGATGACTGTTTCAGTCCATAAAGAAACTTACGCGGTCGACATACCTTTCCAGCATACTCCTCACCACGAAAGTCCGGTGGTGCATCTATATTAATAATCTTGTCCAGATCACCGTGAAGAAATACATTTTTCACATTCAATTGATGAAGAGGCCAACAGTATTCCGCAGCTAGAGAAATAATTACTCGAATAGTAGTCAATTTTGTCACGGGGGCAAAGGTAGCACCAAAATCACGATATGGTACCTGAGTAAAGCCCTTCGCCACAAGTCTAGCCTCGTGACGATCAATAGTACCATCCGCAAGAAACTTCAGGGTATAAACCCAACAACAACAAACAGGCTTCACCCTTGAAGGTAAAGAGACAAAATCTTACGTATAATTATGCTAAAGAGCGTTTATCTCCGTCTGCATGACAAGAACCCACTAGGGCTCCCTCATAGCCTTTAAAACAGAGCGAGGAGCCAGTGTATCTGATAAGACCATACTATAAGCTCGAAATGTAAGAGACAAATCACCATAAGACACATAAGCAGAGATCAGATATAAAGTCCTGGCAGTCCAACCATAACGAATAACTGGACGACGATCACAATGCAGATAACGACGTCCTAAATCATCATCCTCCACTGACAATGTCTCATCAGAGAAAATAACTACCTTAGTATCTGCAATCTCATCAGTACTAACAACAGGTGCATCAATGTGCTCAACGAACTGAGAAGTATTACCTGCATCGCCTGAGGTAGAGGTGACATCAGCAGGGGGATGAGAGCGAGGGCGACAAACATAAACCTGTAAAGGAAAAGAGACTGGTGACTCTGTACTAACAGGGACGAGTGACTCTGGAGAACAAGAGACTGATGACTCTGTATTGATAGTGACCAATGGCTCTGGTTTCTGCGGTAACGGAAAATCATCAAATAGAGGGGTAGATACAGGACTGGAAGAAAAATAAGGAATGTGCTTAAGAAAGGTAATATCTAGACTGTGATACATACGGCGCCTGATAGGATCGTGACATCGATATCCCTTAGACTGATGACAATTGCCCACAAAGACACAACGAATCGCTTTATTATCAAGCTTATGACGAGTAGGAGACCGATCCTGAACAAAATATGTGCAGCCAAAAACACGAGGGGGGACTGAAAAAAGTGTCCGCTCAGGGAATAAGACCTATAAGGGAGCCCTATGCTGAAGAACACGATTCGGTGTACGATTACACAAAAAGGTAGAAGTCAAAACAGCAAAATGCCAATAAGATTTTGGTATCCCCATATCTCTAAGCATACAATGTACCATCCTTATTAAACTCCTATTTTTCCTTTCAGCAACTCCATTTTGCTCAGTAATATATGGACAAGTGAGCTGTTGAAGGATTTCCTAAGAGGAAAAGTGAGACACTAAGGCATCAGACTCATATTCTTTGACATTATCCGAACAAAGAGCACAAACAATGACATCAAATTATGTCTTAATCATCTGGAGAAATTGAGTGATGATAGGGAGTACATTAGACTTCCTATGCAAAAGGTAGACCTAAGTACAACGGGTATGGTCATCGAGCACCTGATAGAGCTGTAACAGGAGAGAGTCCCTAAATATCAGAGTGTCTCAAGTCAAATGGCTTAGGTGACCCGTGCATGCGAGGAATATAACTGGTTTGGACATATTTCGATAGTGAACATGTAACACAGTTAAGTTTACTACCAACACAAGTATTACTCAAAGTAGGAAATAACATACATAAATATTTAAAATTTGTATGTCTAAAACGGTCATTCCACAACTTAACAGTTTATGATGAAAAATCATAACGACAAGTACTAGACAAAATACTAGCATACAAGTTAGGAACAGATAAAGATAAAGCAGATGCAAATGATGGAAGTGGAGGAATTGGTGAAACGAGAGGTGGATCGCCTAGATAATACAGTCCATCTTTCTCATGTCCCTTGATAATAATCTTCCTGGTACTCAGGTCCTGCAAATAACACGAATCAAATAAAAACACAACTGCATAGTAAAAATCTCATGTACAAATAATAGATTCATGGCCAGTTTTGGTACATGAAAAACCGAATGTATTGTAAAGCCATTTGGGAGGCAGACTGTGCCATTACTAACAATAGGGGCATGTGTCCCATTTGCTAGCTGTACTTGTGTATGTAACTACTCGTCAAAAGTGGTGAAGTAATGGGCCTCACCTGTCATATGACTATTTGCACCCGAGTCCAGTATCCAAAGGAGAGACGGACTGTCACAAGCATGAGAGGCATGAGGTATACCTGTAGTGGTGACAGTAGTAATAATCAGACCCTGAGAAGTCAGGGCGAATATAAGTATATCCAATCGGGAAGTGATAACATCCATATCACTCTGCCAAGGAGGAACAACAACGGGAGCAACGACATTAAGTGGTGGTATCTCACCAATGGCAGCAATACGGCTGCGAGAAGGTGGTTTAAGCTCCGGATAGAGCTTCCAGCATGTAGCCCTGAGATGTCCTGGTTGGCCACAATAACCACACTGACGAGAACCAGGAGGTACATTCCTGGTGGAAATACTAACAACAGAGGTCTCAACAGTAGTAGCCATAACAATAACAATACGTGGACACCCGTGACAGAAAAAAAAAAACTCTAAGATAAATAGAAGGACAAAATAAGGGAGAATCACATACCTCTAGTCGAACTGTAACGACAGATAAAGAAGGTCCAGATGCTCCCAAATAATTAGATCGCGGGGCGCAGAAATTCAGTTAATATAAATAAATGATCTACTGCATCAAGAGTAGATCAACAAAGAAGAGGATTCAACTCCTCTTAAAACAAGTCCTAGATACTGCAATTAGACAGCACTGTGACGAAGAGTGCGAAGAATAAAGTTACAACGAAAAACGCGACCCGGCAGTGGGCTGAGCAGTGACCCAGCAGTAGGCTAGGCACTTGTGTTCGCTGGTGTGCAGTGGGCTAGGTGGCTGGGATGGTCTGGTCTGGGTTGGGTTGGACAGTGTATTGGGTTTGTCGGTGGAGTAGTGGTTTGATGTGTTATGGTGTATGGGTGTTATGGTTTGATGGGTTATGTTGGTGTTATGGTGTATGGATAGTCGGTGGAGTACTCTTGGCTGGTTGGTTTGATGTGTGAGTTTTGTCGGTTGTGAGTTGCAGGGTGACTGATTATCGGTGCTGTGCAGAGATGGACTGTCTTGCTGGTTGTCAGTGGGATTTGGTTTACTGGGATGCTGTCGATTTCGACTAGGTACTGCTGTCGGTGGGTGTGGCTGGGGTTGCAGGGCAGCGGCCGTTACTGGTTGCTGTTGCTGCTGGTGGAGGCACAGGTGGTTGCTGGGCTGTGGTAACAAGGTATAGGAGGCTAGGGCTAGGGGCTAGGGGCTAGGGGCTAGGGTTTTGGTTCTGATACCAACTAGAGAAATATGTGAGTCAAAAAGGGATGCAAACTAAGTGTAGAGTCCTTGTATATATAACCAATAAAAATTACAATAAGGATAAAAAGGTAAAAAAGAAAAACTATAATAAACCCTAATAAACTGAGCTGCTATATCTCCAACAGATCTACTTGTGTATATGCACATGCTTGTGTGCAAATGCAAGCAGTTTTTTGGAGATTGGGATGGAAAGGAAGA